GTAGATGACTTTTACAAGCTGCTATAGCGGAAAAGAGAAATCTTCCTTCTGCAGTCATCCCTGTAGTGAGCTTCCTTAAAGTTAGCCAGCCTAAGGCTCCAACCCACTGCTGGGGTTGGCCTGGAAGCCTCTGGAGCTTGGAGCCATCAGCCAACTGGGGCTGCACTAATGTCACCTCTGAGACCCTGGAGTCACCTCAGGGACATGAGGCAGCTTTGCAAGGTGTCTTCCCTTTTGACAAGTCATTCTTAAATTGTCCCTGAGGAAGGGTTGCTGCTTTTGTTGTTACTTGCTTCTTTTTATTTTTATTTAAAAAAATATTCCCCATATCTCTGAGGAAGTTCAATATTATGGTTAAAAGTGGTGCGAAGGATATAGAGGAAAGAGTCTATGTCTCAGAGGCAAGAAAACCTGGGTTCCAACGTGGCTTTAATCCTTATTAGCTGTGGCATATGAACAAAGCTAAGTTATGTAGCATCTCTGAACCTCAGTTTCCTCCTCTATTTTATAGGGTTGTTGTGAGGCTCACATGACATGATGAATGTGAAGCAATTTGTTATCCTGAAAGCGCTATATCGATGTTAGCTTTTATTCTTTTTTATTGCAGCCATTAGAATATGATTTCACTTCCTGCCTCTCACATCTAATAGCTCTATGACCATGACCAACTCACTAAGCCTCAGTTTTCTCACGTGTAAAATGGGATCAATGTGTGTAGTAACTACTTCACATAGTTTAGATGCTCAGATGAGAATATCTTTAAAGTACTTTATCTGTTAATTATCTTGAGAGAGAAGGAAGTAGAATTGACATTATTTTCTTTACTACAGAATTCCCCAGTGAATTATTTAGGAGCTGGAAATGTAGTGTTCAACCCAGACTTTAAATTACTCTTTAAAAGCATATTCGTTCTGTAATATCTTAATGCATTTATCTTCATAATATTGTGTTATTAATTGCCCTTGCTTGCTTCTTTGTGGCTGAATCTGAGCATTTGTCATTCTTTCCAGTTGAAAGATATGTGCAGGGAAGTGTTATAACAATTAACTCAATGTACTTCACAATGTTAGAGCTCACAGCATTTTTCTTAAAGAGAATGTCTTCAGTTAAATGAGATTTCCTCCCTTAAACCTTTGCTGTAGTTGTCCCTCAGAAACAGCAGTCATAGGACGTAGCTCAAGAAATATTTCTTTTCATAGCTTTTGAAAAGATCAAAACTGGAGAGAAAATTCTCAGGACAGTTGAGATTTTTCCTCGGAGGGGTGACATTGGGAAGTGAGATTTGTATTGTCATGAGTCTTTAAAAGAAATTGTTTTACTTTTTGTATACCTGATTGAAGAAACCTCTGAGTCTCTGTCACTTCAACTGAAATCCTTCATTTGAGACATTTTAAACAGAAGCCCTATACTTCTGTCCAGACTCATCATATGCAAAGGGCTGTCACTTCCAAATTCATTGCTATTATTTGATATCACCCAGAGGTTAGGAGGTCAAAATTGATCAAGCATCTCAATTGCCTTGGAGCTTGTTCAATTGAATTCTGGTTTGATTTTGAGAAGTTCTGGGAAGCCATGGGATGGAGTGGAGTTTGAAGACATGGGTTCAAATCCTGTCTCTGCTATTAACTACCTGCATGAACTGGGCCAGCTCTCTGACCCATGATTTCTTCATCTCTAAAATGGAAATTATAGTAACTGTTGTACCTATCTCACTGAGATGATTGAGAGATCCAGATGAGACAATACATGGAGAGTGCTTTGCAACCTAAAAAATGCTCTAAAAATGTCCATTATTGTTAAAATAGTTCTCAATCCATAGACTCTTTGTGGGGAAGGAGGCAAGATTCAATGACTTCAGTTTTGTTTTGTTTGTTTTTCCAATCCATCAAGTATTTATTAATGGAATGGAAGAAGACTGAATGGAAAAGCATATTTTAAGTATTTACTTTGCACCAAACACTGTGCAAGCATGGAGATATAAATACAATGTTAAAAAATAAAAACAAGGCAGGCTGCGGTCTCATGCTGTTATTGGGGAGAGACACATATTCAAGGGTTCAGTTATAGGCAGATGGAAAGGCCTGCTGGTCATTACTACATTTGTACACAAGTCCATTGTTAAAGACTGAGAGTCCTTAGGGTATAAACCACTAGTCAGACGGCAATGCACATGGGGTCCAAAGAACATAGCAAAAGGGCCAATTTAAAGACCAGTGGATCCTAGGGAGCAATACTGGGGTGTGTGCTAAGGCGTGGTTGATCGCCATTTTGCCAGAAGGATATCAGTTTATGACTCCACACTCTTCTAACATAGGACATAACATTTCCAAATGTTTACATACAGATACATACACATATGGATGTGTATTCAGAATATAAACAAAATGAATACATGGTAGTTTTACAGGGCAGACACAAAGGTTTTAGCATCTTTGAGGGAATCAGGAAAGGCTTTGTGTAGAAGGAAATATTGAATTTGAGTCTTGAAGGAAACTAGGAATTAAAAGAGGTGGGAAATTGGGTTGTGATGTTTTCACAGGGAAGAGACCAGCATCTTTGATGTGAAACAGCATGCATCCTATTGCTGGGCTGCAGTGTATATTGGAGGGCAGGGAAGGGGGGCAAAGAGGTACTATAAGAGAAGATTGGAAAGGTAGGAAGGAGCCAGGTTGTGATAAATTTTAGATGCCAAACAGAGGGAACAAACATCTATTGAGAGCCTTCTATGTGCCAGACGTTGTCCTAACTGCCTTACAAATATTATTTCATTTGATCCTCATAGCACCCCTGGGAGTTATTATCCTCATTTTACAGTTGAAGAAATTGAGATAGAGTTTGTTAAGTGACATGTTCAGGATCACATAGCTAATAAATGTCTGAGGCTGAATTTTGACTCGGGTCTTTCTGACTCTAGGCGCTGAACTTTACCCACTGCCCACGTAGCTACCTATGAAGTAGTATATATTTGCTCTTATACTTCCTTCCTGAATATTTTTTTTCCTTCACTGTTTTTTTTCTCTGTTAGAAGGAAATCTTTGTCTTTCAGAAGGTGGGTTTCCTTGCTTTCTCTTGGGAGCATTAGGATACCAGTGGTGCACACAGACTGTCCCCCAGTTATCCCTCACCACATGACCAGCCCATCTTTTTCATTCTGCCATTTCTTTGATCATATCTCTTACCCTGGTTCTCTTTTATCTTCTCTGCCTGCTCACATCCCTTACCCTCCTCCATATTGCCTTCTGAGTGGTTTTCATTTTTAATTCTTCACAGATTCTGATGTCTGTGACTTGTAGTTGGTTTCCAAAAAGCCATATTATTTGAACTCTCATATTTCAAATTAATTTTTCCTTTGTGCTCTCCCATTGCCTCCAGAGCTTATGACAGAGCTGGCCAAGCAAATAGGTTCCATCCATGGCCCAGCTCTCAATCTGTTTTGGTAGTCGAGTTTGCTGGTTTTCTTTCTGCTCTGACTTTCTATTAACCTGAGTCTGATTTGGGCATGAATAAAGCATCTGGAGAAAAGAGAGCTTACAAAGACTTTGGCACGTAAAAGAATCAGAAACACAACAATATTGGTTCCTGCCATATAGTGCCACACCTTTTTTTTTTTCCTGTGGCTGAAGCATGGGAGCAGAAATTGACACCTGATTTCACACCTTTTGACTTTGACCGCCCCTCAGCCCACACAAGTACAAGAGTTCTCTGGAAAAGAACAGATTTTGGAGGCTTGAAGTCATACTTCACATCCAAAACTGTCATTAAATCTCGCTACTCTTAACATTTGACAAATATGGCCTGGGGAGATGCTACCTTGAATGAATATACCATGCATATAAATATAGTTTTAGTATTTTAAACTGCTTCTGCAAGTTTTCTGTTTTTATCCTTTTATCTAGGGTCTCTCCAAAGTGAGGAGAAAAAAAGCTACAAAACATACAATGTAAATCAGAGGGAGAGATTTCTGAGGAACTAAAATAGATCTATCAAAGGCCATGAACTAAAGCTTGTTCATGTCACCCAGAAAAAAGCCTCTCATAGAAGAGCCACTCAGACCCTCATTTAGAGCCCATCTGCTCCTTTTGTTTTTATATTTTTATACACAATTTAATGAGTACCTTTATCTTATTTCTCACTCTATATCAGATTAGATGCCACAAATTGGTTTGGCAGGGAAGGAGGTACTTATAGGGAAAGGCAACAAGTGACTGATTGCCTCAAGATGAAGGAGACAGGAAAGGCAGAAAAAGGAGATTTGAGGTGTCTAAACACTGTGAGGTTAAGGCCTTGGCCTAGAGTTTACCCCAGGCCTTCCTGACTCTGAAGCAGGATCTCAACCTACTACAACTTTCTACCTCTTAATAGATGTATGCTCCATTTTAAATAACAGAAACATGTAATATACTTTTATGAATACATTTTGTTTTTTATTTCATATTCCCTTTCTAGTGATCACTCTTTTCTCTTGGTAGTCTCTTCTAAATACAAAAAAAAACAACAACAAACAAACCAACAACAATTCGATCAAACTTTGATCCAGCAACGATGACTGATAACATCTAATAATAGTCTGCAAAAGTGGCCCATCGCCTCTGTACCGAAAGGAAGGAAGTTTGTTCCAGCATTAGTCATCTGGAACCAAGATGGGTTAATCATTGTGTTTGTGTTTGACTTGAGTTCTTTGTCATTTTTAATGGGATATATGGATATTTTATATGTGTGTGTGTATGTGTGTGTGTGTGTGTGTATATATATATATATATATGTATATATATATATACATATATATATATATATGTTTAAGAAAGTGTTGTTAAATAAGTGGTTAAAGTTACTTGAAAAATTAAATTATGTGGCATGCCACCTTCCTTGTTGAAATTGGTTGAATGAGATATTATTGCACATCCATGTTTTGAGCAAAGAAAAGCATTCCAATAGAGAAAATGCAAGAAAATGTAGGAAAATTGTGTTAAAATTACCCTTTGATTCATCTTCCCTTGTAGAAATCAGAATCGTCACAATGAAAGTTCAGACAGTCACTGAATACAAGACGCTCACCAACGTTGTCGGCTATCTCAAAGGAGCTTCATTTCCTGGTAAGTAGAAGTAAGCAAGGATGACCTGAATTTCTTATAGAGCACCATAGAATAATTGTAAATCCTACATATGCTCTAATTTAATAGCTCAACTTAGAAATGATTGGAATCAGGTGATTTTAAATTTTAATGTTTCCTTTTTTTGTTTGTTTGTTTGTTCTATGGGTTGATGGCTCTTTACCATGATCACCTTAATGGGCTTGTCATTATACACTTAAAAGACATTGCTTTTAATTATATCTATGGAAGACTGTTCATGTTGCCTGGGATTTGGATTGTCCAGGAGAGTACATGCTTCTTGAGGGTAAATAATGACTAGGTTATTTTTAACCTCCATAATCTCCTAATACTCCTCACATAGTCCTGCATGTAGTTGATAGTTTATAAATATTTAAATGAATGTTTGAGGATATTCACATTAAGAATCAAAAAATAAAGACAAAGTAATCACAAAACAAGAAAAAAAGGAAATAATAATACTCATATTTTATAGGGTTGCATAAAGCTTAAATATATTCTATGCATAAGTGCCTGATATTAGTATAATAAGACATAAAGCATAATTATTTCACAACATATTGTGAGCCAGAATCATTTATAACTTTTTTGGTATCCTTTCTGTATGGTATAGTTGACAATTTAGTTTAAATATTTTTATCGTCTATTCTGTGTTGGTTAGGTTGAGATCTTACTCAAGTTAACAGTGGAGAGTAGCTGACCTCATTTGAAGCCAATACAGTTGGTCCCCAGGTTCCTAATCTAGAAGAATGAAGACTTCTGAGTTTTAGACAGTCCAGTGTTATCATTCTAGGAGATCGATTAAGCTCAGAGGTAGTAATGGGCTTTCTGAAATTTACTTACAGTTAAGAAACTTGAACACCTCTGGAGCAGGTATCCTTAATGAATCAGCAATCATAAACATAAGAAACAAATGCTTCTTGTAATTTTAACTATTGAATTTGAGCTATTTCAATAAAATGATTTTCCATCAGAAGGATCTCTAGCTGAAGCATTAGGAGGATTTGTCATCCTTACGGTATTTGTCAGTTACTATTGGAAAATCAGAGGAGAAAATTATCCTCATTTGGGAAAAGAAAAGAAAAAGTTTTTTTTTCTATTCAAGTTCAATCTGTTAAAAAATAATCTAAATAAAATTGATGTAAATCAACATTATCACTAATACTATGCAGGGCATAAAGCTTCATTCTTTTTCTTCATTAGAATTCTAACATGACCAGTCTCTATACACATTCTAGTAACGTCCTAACGAGGTGACTTTGAACATAAAAGCAAGTCACAAAGTTATATTACAATACTTTTTGATATATAGCTTACCAAAACTAAGCACAACCTTAAGTCATAAATTTAGAGCACATCTGGAAAATAAAATAGAACGTTGAGCCCTTCAATGCCATTTACTAATCCAAGGTTTATAGCTGTAGGCTTGAACCTTATAGAAAGTTGGCCAAGGAAAATCCACTTGTTAGTGTAATATCAGTGCCCATCTCCACACATGACAATACTTTGCCCCCTCTCCCACCAAGAAATCCATAGAAAATGGTACTTAGGCCAAAATGTGTCAACTGAATTTCCTTAATCACAGCACCAGAGTTTTATAACATCTGTGCATCTGATGCATAAATGGAGAACCTGAAGTGACCTCAGAAGCTATCTATTCAGTCAGTGAGTCAATAAACATTTAGTAAGTGCCAACTATGTGCCAGGCACCATGCTAAGTGCTTGGGATACAAAAGAAAAAAAAGGCAAAAGATAGTTCCTGTGCTCAAGGAGCTCACAATTTAATGGATTAATTATCAATGATAATTCATGATCATCCTATAGATGAAAAAACAGGTCTAGGTAGACAAAGGGACTTAAGAATAATGTTTTAAAATGTAAAAAAAGTATAAGATTACAAAGGGATATAAGTAAGGCAGGAATGCAAATGTATTGAAGTAGTAATCAGAATATTAAAAATAGAAGTTCACAGACCTCAGTTTAAGAACCCCTTGCATAATGGTAAGATAACTAGAGCTGTCATATTTCCTCGGTTTAAATCTCAGCTCTTCCACTTACTAACTGGATGATCCTGGGTGAGTGAGTTCACCTCTGTGGACCTCAGTTTCTTCATCCGTAGGATAACAGAATAAACTAGACAGCTTCTGAAATCTTTTCTAGCTTTCGATCTATGATGTTATGAATTAGCAGAAGAGCATATGAACCTCTGAGTAGGTTCTTTCTCATGGGGTAGTTCAGGGTCACTTGGTCAAATAAATATTGCACTAGACTTAGAATCAATAGTAATCAATAACAGCAAAAGTCAGCCAGCCACACTGGTTTTATTTGCACCTTCTAAATCTAGGACTGTGGTCAGCAATGTAAGTAAACAGTATAATCATGACCTATGAATACCTGTCAAATTAGTTAGATAGAAATGCGCCAAATAAATTTTGGAAAGTTGGTTGAAATGAACTCAAGATATCAAAAGTATGTTACTTTTTGGAACTGCCCTGCCCCCATGGCATATTACAACTTGTCTATCAGTCATCAGTTAGGGATCAGATGACTTGTCCACTGTCAGATAAAGGTGGGATTTGAAATCCCACCCTACGTATACCCTCTCTAGTACATGCTAAGTATATTCTGTTATGAAACAACAAAAACAATGGTTTTAAAATTCCTCAGTTGAATGTCCACTTTTCCCCATTTAACAAAAAGAGGAGAAACATAGTGAAGCCACATTACAAAAACCAATTAACCCTGAGGGGAGAAAGGAATTTATAAGACAATCCATTTTTATTTGATATTTTTTATTACACTGACCATGTTTCCAGATCTCCATAAAAAGATGACCCATCAGGCAACAGTTAATTAATATTTTATGAACACACAGAAGCTGTTCGTAGACCACCTCCCATGACACTTCCACAAAACGTTACACAAAGATTTTCGCTGCCGCATGTTTGTGTGTGTTTGATTAATGAATGTTTCAAAGGACAGTGTGTTATCGCCTAATCCTGGCTATATCACTGAGCTATCCTACCTGCAGCTGTATATATGCTGACCGATGCAGACCAGGAGAACGGACAAAAATAAGAGGGGTAAACATCGATTCAGTTATTGCTGTTCTGTTCGATAGAGTCTAAACTGCCAATGAATTTATTTTTGAGGTTTAATTGGAAAAATGTTTCTTCCCCAGACCGGTATATCATTGTGGGTAGCCACCATCAGAGCCTTTATGGTTACAATGGACAAGAATGGGCCAGTGGAACTGCCATCATTACAGCGTTTATCCAGGCCTTGATGTTAAAAGTGAAAAGAGGCTGGCGACCTGATCGGACGATCGTCCTTTGCTCATGGGGAGGAACGACATTTGGCAACGTTGGCTCCTACGAGTGGGCAGAGGTAAAAAGGGAATCTAGAGAGAGTGCACCGTGTAATTTCTTAGGCTAACGTGAATAATATAAAATAATCATGTTGAATTCAAAGACATTGATGCCTCTTAGGTGTCTCAAGATAGACATACCTTTACATTCCCTGAAAAATTTCCAGATACTTTCCAGGATTTGTGATACCCAAGTCACGGTTGCAATTTTGCTGTGAACTTGCTTCATTACCTCAAAACACTCATGTACCTGAGCTGGGTGTCGTTGTATTTGTCTTTAAACTGAAAAGTGTGACTCTGTTGTCCCTTTTAACTCTAGCATTCTGTTGTTCCAGAAGTCAAAACCTCTCTTGGTGTGTTTCATGTTCTGTGTCTACTCTGGCATTTTTAACAAAATTTGAATAGTAGGAGGCAGTATGATATGTTAGAATATAGGATGTTGAGCCTTAGGACCTGGGTTCAAATCCTGATTCCACCACTACCTAATCTGTATGACTTTGAGCTAGTTCAAGTTCCTCATTTGTAAAATGAAAATAGTAGATATCATAATAAGTTCACTTGATCCTTAAATTTAAAGATCCCAAAGTTAACAGACTTAATGCTGAAATGTACTTTTTTTTCTTATTCTTTTTGCTTGCTGCTCTACAACCTCTTGGTTACAAACAAAACTATTAATACATTTTGTTTTAACTAGGCATTTCCCAATAAAAATCCTGCCTCTGGCATTCACTACCAGTGTGCTAGTTGCTTAATCACTCTGGGCCTCAGTTTCCCAATCTGCAAAATGAGAGGTTTGGACCAGATGAGCCCTTCCATCTCTGTCTGTGATTCTATGAAAATCCAACCAACCTTCCCTGCCAGCAAAAGATATTTACATAAAAGCAGTTAATCACAACTTCTTCAAGGAGTGTTTGTGACTGACAGAACATATGACTTTCCACTTTTGTAGTTGATGCTTTGTTCTTCAATTTTAATGCTTTGCTACTAATATCATCTGTTGTATTTGCCCTGAGCTTATTGCCTGAGCATTTTTTATATTAAAAATGCCAAGTGTCTTCATTTCTGTTATTATTTTTATTGTGTGTTGTTTGCTTGGTCTTTCTTCACTTTGGACCACTTTGTATAAGCCTTCCCACATTTCTCTGAATTCTTCGTATTTGTTGTTCCAAGTATGGAACATTTTTGAGATAATTGTAAATCTTCTAAAAGACACATGTACTAGCAAAACAAGTTTTATTTTTAAAAATTCTAATCAGACTGAATCCAGTCTAGATCAGAATTCTTTTTTGTTTTGTTTATAGCTTTTAACACTCACAGCTTTTAAAGAAGAAAATTCATAGAAATCAGGAAAAAAAACTGTTTTCTTTTACATTAAAAAGATCAATGATTTTGTCAATATGGACATTCTTTGACCTAGGTTCAAATACATATGCTCTGTGTGTGACCTTGGGCATAAATCACTTAGCTTTTACAGGCCTCAGTTTCCCTATCTGTAAAAGGATTATAAATGTTAAACTCTTCAGCTGTTGAGGTCCTATCTAGTTCTAGGTCTATGATACTGCAATCCTTCCACTAATTCCCCTGCCCCTAAAGTCTTGACAAGCCCCTGCCCCATTGTCTCAGTCAAGACAGCTCAAACTTTGTCAAGTTAGAATGTAGGTTACTTGAGGTCAAAGACTTTTGTCTTTCTATCCCCAGTGTTTTCCATAGTGAAGGGCTCACAGAAGATGAATAATTAATGTTTGTTGAATGATTTTTTGATTGATTGATTACCAAGGTAAAGAGGCTTTTTAAGTACAAGCCTGAAGCTGGATGATAGATTCATCAATTGAAAATAAACCTGGATGTTTGGAAAGGCCCAAGGGTTAGCCACCAGGTGAATTTCTTCTTGTCTACAGTAGCTCATGAGCATTGCCTACAGAATGACACAATGGATGTATTTAAACAGTGCCTTTGGTCAGCATGTCATTTCGATTTAGAGAAAAGTAGTATCTCAAAGTTAATAAAGAATATTCTGGTTATGGAAATTCATCTAGTCCTATCTTGGTCATTTGAATATAGTCATTATGTAAATAAAGGATTGATGGTTGTTCCACATTGAAAGAATTAATTCAGCTGAATATTATAGAAGAAAAAAAGATAAAGTGTGTTAAATTCATAAACTTGTACTTAAGATAGAAAATGTCAGTTAAAAAGAGCCAACTTCTCTAACTTCTGCTCCTTAATCTTGTTCTTTGAAGATGTGAAAAGTCAAGCAAGCATTTTTGTGGCATGGTTTTCTTTGGAACTTTCTGTTGCAATTGAAAAGGGTTATAACAATGGAGAAAGAACAACCTTTTTCTAATGGGGTTTTTTTTCTTATCATAAGACCTATTTTCCAGAATTTTTCATCTCAGTCTGTTGTGAGAATTTCTATTCAAACTTCTGGCTATTGAGATTGTGGGTCCAGAAAGAGTTATACTTGTGTGTGTGTGTGTGTGTGTGTGTGTGTGTGTGTGTATGTGTTTAATTTAAACTGGGAAGGATCTTTGCAATTATCTGGTCCAACTGGAGGCGATGTATTATCGGTTAGTAGAGGCCTGACATGTCCCCACCAAGTGACAGAGATTATACTGTGACATGAAGCTCTGACAGGGCCCAGGCTCATTCCAAAGTGATCCTGGACAAGTCCTGTAACCTCTGTCTGCCTCACTTTTCTCCATTGTAAAGTGGGGATCATAATAGCACCTACCTCCCAGGGCTGTTGCGAACATCAGATGAGATGATATGTAAAGCACCGAGCACAGTGTCTGGCACAGAGTAGGGTCTACCTACTGCATCACCTCCAGTATGCACTTCCCATGCTGATGAAAATCTGCTTTTTTACAGCTGACCATGACGCTTCCTTACTAAAGAATATTCAGCACCTCTCTGCTGTTTATGGGGCAAAATATTCACTCTGCCCGCCATTAAAGTTTCTCCATTAACAAACCTAAAATTACCTTATTATTCTTCGTGAAATTTAAGGCTGGGGATAATCCAGGGCTTCTTATTTCATTTGGGACCTGCTGGATGAGGAAACTCAACCAATGAAGAGCAGCCCCATATGATTTTAGAAAGTCGCCTGACAGTCAAGGGTCACACGGCCAGTATGTTCCAGAAATAGGGCTTGAAGGAGGGTCTTTCTCACTCTGAAATCAGCTCTGTATGCCATACTGCCTTTCACATACTCTAAGATCTCTCCAAACACTATTTCTCATTCTTGTCCTTCCCCCACAACCACCATGAATTTATATATCTTTTTTCCATACCTCGAATGCATTCCTTCCAAATCTTCACCTGTTTAAAATCCTTCTATTTCCTAAAGGACTGATGAGGTGCCACCCTCTCCCATAAATCTTCCTTGTAGAAAAGGCCTCCTTGAGCACAGGAGATACATCATTTTTCATTTTCATATACCTAGTACCTGGCCCTTCTTTTTTGGACTAAATTTGTTTTTTTACTGGCGTAGGAAACTCGTGGGGAAGAGGACCATCTATCTACCTATTCTGCCACTTATAGTCTGAGACAGTTACTTGAGGGCACTGAGAGGTAGAGAGATCTGACCAAAGTTACTGGCTAGTGTATAAGAGGCAGGATTTAACCCGGGCCTTTGTGTCAATATGGCTGGTCCTTTATTTGCTGTATCATGGGTGCCTTGCCCCCTTAATAAATTGTGGTAGAATAGAATGAAGGAATTGAAGCTCAGAAAGACAGCAACTTGATCAAAGTACTGTGGCATATTATGAGCAGAACCAGGCTTAGAACCCAGAGAATCCACCTGTCAAGCCAGTGTTCTGGCCACAACCCCCTATTATGTCCCCAGTTTCCTCACTTGTAACATGAAAAGGTTTGGGACAGCTATGTGGTGCAGTGGATAGAGCACCAGCCCCGGAGTCAGGAATACCTGAGTTCAAATCTGGCCTCAGAACCATAACATCTTCTAGCTGTGTGACCCTGGGCAAGTCACTTAACCCCATTGCCTAGCCAAAAAGAAAAAAACAATGAAAAATGAAAATGAAAAGGTTGGACTTACATGACTGCTAAAGCCCCTTCTGATTTTAAATCTAATAGATAGCTAAATGTTGTCTGTTGGTTGTTGAGCTGTGTATGACTTGTTTTGAACCTATTTGAGGTTTTCTTGTCAAAGATACTAGAGTGTTTGCCATTTCCTTGTCCAGCAACTTTCACAGATGAGGAAACTGAGGCCAACAAGATGAAGTGACATGCTCAGAGTCACACAGTGAATAAATGTTCAAGAATTAGTTAAATATTGGAATGCTAATAAATGTAGTATCAATCATGTTTCTATTTATCTATTGGTCCTATTAAATGCATAGTACACTCCAGTATACATTTGTGATCTTAGAGAATTATCTCATAGTATGTTTATAGTTCCAGCTAGCATTTATCAGAATAACCAAGTTATAGTGATTTAGAAAGCTATCTATTTTCTTTTTTCTGTTCCCTATTAAATTCCTATGTCAAAAGCACTTTGTGCTGGGGATAGACCTTTTTTTTTCTATTCTGCGCTCCACCTCCCCAGCCTAGTTTACTTTGTCTGATCATCCATCATCTCTGCAGCAGAGGAGGCCATAGAACTGTGTTGATCTGTCATATTCTACTATTTAATTCTACTTACACCGAAACCCTTTGAAGCTCAAAGCTATAATTAAGCAGATTAGGTACGAATGGTCAATAAACTTGAAGGCAAGATTTAGAGTAATTCAGATATCAGGATGTTGCCTAAATTTATGCCTAAGTTCTAGAGTAGAAATCTCATTACACAATATCTTCACTAGAATTACTTTCTTTCTTCCTCATTAGCAAATGTAACTGATAAATCCCTGATAAGTTTATCTTCCTTTCTCAGGGAGGTATGTTACCTTCATCATGCTATGTGACAAGGCCATTGCTCTTGGCTCAGCTCCTAGCAAGAGGCTTCAAAAACAGTAGGTGCTTAATAAATGCCTTCTGAATTTAGTTTTGGCAACAGTGTAAAGGGTAGATTAGAAAGAAGAGAGATGGGAAAGATCAATTAGGATGCTACTGCAATAACACATGTAGGTGAAGCATGATCAGGGCCTGACGTTGTCTAAAAGATTTCGACCCCAGTGGTAGCTTTGCTCATCCCAAACTCCAAAGGCCAGAAGTCAATTGCTTATTTAAGGTAGGTGAGAGTTCATTGTGCTTTTGATTAGTGTATTGTGGGGGGGAAAAAAGTGATTATTGTAGAAACAAGAGAGGGAAGCATAAAATTTCAGTACAGTTTAATAGAGATGACTTTAAAATTAAGGGTGTGTTTTTGTGGAAAATTAGAGTTAAGGAAAATACCTTCTTCAGGATTTCATTTCCCGTAGTAGAGATACTTCTGCATATCTGTCCTTCCACCTCTATTTCCAGTGGTATCTACCACATACTAAGAGGCAAGGGGACCCTCCAATAACTGGAATAGGAAATCTGATTGGTGCCCTCATTGAATGTTAAGATCACAAAATAGGAATTATCAGGCATTTTGAGTAATGGAGAGAGAAAGGAGGATTAAATGATTAAGTTGCCTTTTCTTCTATCTGAAAAGCTACTTCACACAAAGAAGGGCTCATTATTACAAAGGAAAGAATTTATTTTTAGAACCATTAAAGCGGTTTGGACCTATCACATCTGTACCTCAATTATAATCAAACTAATGACATCATTGAAGGAAATAGGCCTTTCCATTTTGAAGTTAAATTCTTGGATTAAAAATTCAAGTACTACAACTTCACTAATGTGAAAATATGTTTAATGGGTATGTAAATGTAAAGCCTGTGTCAGATTGTGCGCCATCTTGGGGAGGGTGGGGGGGAGAAAAAGGAAGAAAAAATTTTCAACTCAAAAGCATATGGAAAAAAAAAATTATTAAAAAAAAATAAAAAAAAATTCTTTAGCAAAAAAAAAATTCAAGTACATTATCATTCTGACAATATTTACTTATGAAATATGGCTTCTCTTAAGCATAAGTCAAAGTATATTTTATAGGATGTATTCTCTTAGGCACAAGTTGAAGCATACTTCATAGAATGTAATAGAATCTGAAAATCATTCATTTTCTAGATAAGGGAGTTCTCACTTTGACTGAGGCAACACCCATTCAGTGAACTGGAACATAGAGAAGGGACATGACTTGCCAAGGGTCTCATAGCTTGGGTGGTAACAAATTCAAATCATGCCAGAACTCAAATCATCTGAGCCCTAGTCATTAACCTCCATTATTTTGCCTAGAACTAGTTTTTTTCCCCTTTTTTGCAGACTATTTTTACTCTATTAACAGACATGTAATACAATTAAAGCTTTTGTTCGTTGTAAGGAAGAGTAAAGGTAAGTAAGGTTGCTTCAATGGATTTATGTAGACAGTGTTTGAAAATGGGTCAAAAATAGACATAAATGGAAGCAGCATTGAATTTGGAGTCAAAGGTCCTGTCATCTGAATCCTTGTTCTATCAGTTACATTTTGTATAACCTTGGGAAAGATAAGTCACCTGTGTGGGCCTAAGCTTCCCCAAATGTGGACTGGACTGTGCAATGTCTAATGATCCTATGATCCTAAGTAGGAGAAAGGATACAAGCCAAAGTATATTTGGTCTCCAGCCAAAAACTTCAGAAAAAAAAAACTGTATTCAGTGTTCATTGTCTATGTTAAAAATAGGCACTTGTTTTGGTTACAGGATTTCAAGAAAGTGCTTCAGAAAAATGTTGTGGCTTATGTCAGCCTTCATAACCCTATAAAGGGTAACTCAAGCCTGCATCCCATAGCATCGCCTTCTCTTCAACAACTGGTAGCAGAGGTAAGAAATCCTGTTTTATTGCAAAAATTTTGACACAAGGTTCACCTTTTCTCCATTCCCATAATTCTCCTCTGGCACAGAGTCTGTTTTACATAAATAGAGGAAAAAATGCTTTCATTGCACATTTGGTGCTGAGAGTGAATAGCTAATTTCCTTCAACTCAATATTCCAATCCTACTTGTAAGGCATTTCAAAAACATTGCTAGAAAAAATGTTGAAGAAAATAGGAGGAAAATGGCTGTTACCTGTTACCTATCTAAAATCGTATAATTGATGATTTCTCATGAAAGTTGTTCACTTTGTCTTTTAATTTATTTATTTCATGCCTGTCTTAGAGAAGTCTATCTCACATATGTCTTAATGGTATTCATATTTTTATTTATATTATTTTTAAGAGTTTAAGGTTGTTTATCAATTAACATTTAAATTATAATTTCACAGGAGGTATCATTTTTCCCAAAATGGAACTAGTTATGGGTTTTGGGACCCTGGGACACAATCCTCCCAAAGATGAAGGTGTAGTAGGGAATGACCTTTTGAAAATCCACCAAAGCTACAATATAGAAACCAAACTAAAGATGAAACAAATAATGAGCCAGGCTTTTGATTAGCCATAATTCTTGCCTGAAATGTAATACAAACCAATGTTTTATGACTTTTGTAAAATATTTTCTAGTTTAATAGTTTTCATCAGCGTTTGTGTGTGTGATATAATAAAAAAAAGACATTTAAAAAGATGAAGTGGATAAATGTCTGCATTAAAGACCCGCCAAACCCCAATATGGATGCCCTAAATTATGCCAATGTCTCCAAGTTGGTAAATTAATTTCTCCTGCTGTGTGGGCCGTGTCAATTTCACAGACTTTCATTTACCTTCCTAGAGGCAAAGGAGGCAGTCAGCTGAAGATGCTTCCCCTGAGGTTAAGGCCAGTTTTAGGAAAATAATGCCATTCTTTTAGGGAATTGTTCTCACCGTGCATGTGAGTGAGCATGAAGAGAGGCTGAGGATTTAGACTATGTTGTGGAGGACAGTAAGATTTAAGTGCCTTGTATATCTGGGGCTTAAAGAATTAATTTGAAGGTATCACAGTATTTCCTACTATGATCATTTCGAAAGACATTGATGGATATGGTTAAAATTGCTGACTAAATGAATAATAAATTGTGTTTTAGAATTTGTAAGCTACTTAATATTATTTTTGAAAAATGGCTGTATCCATTTGTTTCCCATTTTTCTTTAGGATAAAATGTAAATTACTTATCTTGGCTTAGAGTCTGACCTGTGATTACCTTTCCAGGTCATTTTATCCCACTCCTCTTTCAAGACCTCACCATGCAGCCAAACTGGACTATTATCTACATCTGTTATCTACACCGACTTAATGCTACATCTGCTGCCTTGGTGCCTTCCCAGAGAACTCCCGTGTCTAGAATGCAATCCTTCCTCATCTCAACCTCTCCTAATCCTTGCCTTCCTCGAAAGCCCAGATCAAATACAGTCTTACCATGAAATCTTCCCTGATCCCATCAGCTGTTGGTGTTCTTCCTCTTCTTCTCCCAATTAACTTTATTGTATTTGCTTTTGTGCATGGTGTGACCTTGCCACACATAAGTAGAATGTGCTTTCATTCATTTCTTTGTTAATTCCTCAGTTGCCTACCTAGCACAGTGTCTGCCATGGAATAAGCAATTAATTCACTAAATTATGCCAAACCCTTAGCTTATAGTGCTTTACCTAGAATTGTGACCACCTTACAGCCAAGACTTGGGGGGGGGGGCATCTAGGATGGGTTTTATATAATCTCATGCCAAGGTTTATGACACTTTATAGGAATATGTAAAATTGTCTCTGCAAAGCAAGGCCGAAGCTCTTTGCCTAGTCCAGATGTATTCCCAGAGGAAGAAGAATCTGATACAGCCTTGTTGTTGATGTCTAGGATTGGTCTTGATTTGTGTGTGCATGTATGGAACTTCTGTATTACTTGGTTAAAAAGAAAATTGATCCCTCTACAAGTACTATTAATATTATGTTCAGGTTTGCTAACAGCCAGGAAATAATAGGTTAATCCTAGTATAAATGGCCTTTTAAGAGTTTGATACTGACCGTCTCCCTTTCTAATAACATTGGTATATTTCACGTTACTATTTTACTTTGGAATGTTTTTGTCATAATAGGATGAATAGCCCAGTTCTCTATTAGTAGTGAATATTAAAGATATTATTGTGTAGTGAGCCTCTCAGGGATGGGAAACCTGTGGCCTCAAGGCCACATATGGCTGTCTAGGTCCTTAAGTGTGGCCCTTTGAGGGAATCCAAACTTCACAGAACAAACCCCCTTAATAAAAAGGATTTCTTCTGTAAAACTTGGACTCAGTTGAAAGGCTGCGCCCAAGGACCCAGAAGGCCACCTGTGGCCTCAGGGCTGCAGGTACCGCATCCCTGCTAGTCTGGACTCTTTCTCTCAGAGCAAAGCTGTTTATATCTCCCCATCTAGGTTATAATCTAGGGTAAACTTGAAGGGTTTAGGGGCGTGTCTTTTCTAATGCTATTGTTTTGAGCCTGTCTTCAGAGTGTGTTTTTTATTAACTAATTGGGACCTCTGTTTCATTACTGATTAACACCAATAAGCTTTTACAAATGGATATTTACTGAAGAGATATAGTAAGAACAAAAATACAGACATTCTCTCCTCCCCTAAACCCCCCAACTACTGGGCGACACAGTCTCTCCTTTACCATATTGGTCTCTGAGGAAACGAGCTCAAACTTAACTCTGTTTCTTCTTCAATTCACCCCACCAAGTTCACTTCCACATACAGCATGGCCGATGGGTGAATGATTCTATGGATCTGCTACTTAGCTATTGCTCAGGTAGACAAGTCAGTCCCTTTGAATCTTGCTCATCATCGGCTGGCTTTAGGCAAATACTGGCATGAACCCCAGCCTCTAGATCCTATGGCTCACTCTCCAGACCTTCAAAGCACTCAAAGTCATAACTGTCTCCAAATTCTTTCATCTAAAACAAGAAAGGACATGAAGAGACATAACATAGAGGCCTATGTCCACGAGCTGTGAGGTAATTTGGGAGGAAGAACACTGGCAGTTGAGTTGATCAAGAAAGACTTTATGTATAAAATGGTGCCTGGGCTACATGAGAAGAATGAATATAATAGACTGGGTCATCCTCCCCTAAATGTGAAGTTCAGAAATGATTATTTATAAAAAAAAATACAAAAATATGGTGCTTGGCCTCATCAGAGAGTGATCTTGTTTCAGATCCTATCCTGACATTCATTACCTGGGTGAACATAGGAAAAATTCACCTACCCTCTCTGAATCTCAGTTTCCACATGAGGAAATACTTCACAAGGTTACTGTGATGTTCCAATGAGATAATGCAAGCTTAAGATTTTATAAACTTTAAAAACATAAATGTCACCAATGGTTATAATAAACATAGAATTATTCGGAATATTCTGTGTAGAGACAGAATTGGAATGGATTTCAGTGGCCATGTAGTCTATACTCTTACCACAAAAGGCATCCCCACTGTAATGTGACCAATAAGTGATCATCTAGCTCTGCTTGAACCCAAAGATCTCCATGTGTTATCTCACCTTCTGGTTGATCCACAAGCACTTTCACAGTACTTTTAAGAACACAAAGACAGTGACATTTCCTTAGCAGGACCCCAAGGTGTTAATCTGTGGAGTCTGTCCCATCACATTAGTACTTTTCAAACGAGCCTCCATATCCCCATCTGCAAAAACCTACCTGGAAGGAGGGAGGAGGAACTCTCAGGTCTCACTGAAAGCTAGCAAACATCCTTCTGCCATCAGAGCCCACCAGTTTTCATCAGCACTGCAGGGGAAGAAATTGTTTAGAAATGAATTATCTGCGAAAGCTACTCAGTTATTCTGCATCGTCACGGTTGACTTGTTTCACCCAGTAGATGTTGCCTTCCAGTGTCCTGCCTCACTTTGAAAAACCAAAGCTATACATCAGAAAATACATGAGGCTCAATCAGATAGCTACATCTATTCATAAAAGCTATTACTTTTCCACTTAGCATTGGGTCAGATAGGGGCACTTGCTGATCATTTCACTGAGAAGTACTTCAAACAATCAACTCTATGTGGTCATTCAGTATGCATTTATCATGTGTCTGTAGTGCTCTGGTGAAGATAAGCATTAAACAAAGTATAATTCATGTGACCATGTTGAAAATAAAGTTGTATATAACAGCAATTTGTAGTTTCATGTTCTTTTTCTCTTTCACTTTATATATGGAAATGCTCATTTATTTACTATTTGTTAAGTTCAGAACAAAATTAAGAAGGAAGGAAGGAGGGGAGGAAGACAGGAAAGGAGGATGATAGGAAGGGAAGGAAGGAAGAAAGAAAGAAGGGAAGGAAAAGTAAAGAGGAAGGAAGGAAGGAGGGAAGTGACCTAAGCCCAGTGACCTAAAACTACCATGGTGGCAGGAGGAGGCAGGCAGATATTGCCTTTCTTTATCCCCTTCCTTTATCCTTCCTTCTCTTCCTTCCTTCCCTCCCTCCTTTCTTTTGTCCTTCCTTCCCTCCCTCCCTATCTTCCTCCTTTCCTCTCTTCCTCCTTTCCTCCCTCCCTTCCTTCCTGATTGTTTTTGTCGTGAACTTAACAAATAGTAAATAAATGAGCATTTCCATATGTACCGTGAAAGACAAAAAGAATATGAAACTACAAATTGCTATTATATACAACTTATTTTCAAAAATAGAGTAATTTCAGCAATAACTCCTAAAACTATCCTGCTTGTCTGTGATTGTTTCTGGTGTTCCTTCTGTTAACTTCTACGCATTTAAATGCTTCAGTGATTTTCTTTTCCTTTTTTTTTGTGTATTTTTTTTCTCTTTGTTAAGCCTGCCTTATACCCTCTCTAACTCCTACTACCTCCTCCCAAAGCACACAGACCTTTATGACAAACGTTTGTAGCTAACCAAAATGAATTCTGGTGGTGAT